AGAAGAGGATATTCAATCAATCAACAAATATATGAAAAAATCTTCATCATCTCTAGAAATTAGAGAAATGTAAATCAAAACTACTCTAAGATTTCATCTCACTCCAGTCAGAATGGCAGCTGTTATGAAGACAAACAACAAGTGTTGGGGAGGATGTGGGGAAAAGGTGCACTCATATGTTGCTGGTGGGACTGTAAATTGGTGCAGCCAATTTGGAAAGCAGTATGGAGATTCCTTGGAAAGCTGGGAATGGAACCACCATTTGACCCAGCTATCACTCTCCTGGGTCTATACCCAAAGGATTTAAAAACAGCACACTACAGGGACACAGCCACATCAATGTTTATAGCAGCACAATTCACAATAGCTAAATGGTGGAGCCAACCTAGATGTCCTTCAGTGGATGAAAGAATTAAAAAATGTGACATATACACACAATGGAATTTTGCTCATCAATAAGAGAAAAAAGCCATGGCATTTGAAGGTAAATGGATAGCGTTGGAGAAGACAATATTAAGTGAACTTAGCCAATCCCAGAAAAATAAATGTTGAATGGTTTCTCTAATATAGGAAGGCTGCCTCATATTGAGGTAGGGAGGGGGAGCATGGGAGAAATGGATGAATTCTAATTAGGCAAGGGGGTTGGAGGGAAAGGGAGGGGGCATGGATTAGCAAGGATGGTGGAATGTGATAGATATCATTATCCAAAGTACATGTATGAAGACATGAATTAGTGTGAATATACTTTACATACAAACAGAGGTATGAAAAATTGTTCCATATGTGTAGTAAAAATTGTGATGCATTTTGCTGTCATGTATTTAAAAAATAAAACAAATTGAAAAAAAAAACAAATATATACACACAGGGACACAAAGATTAACATGTGTACTGTGCACCCTGACCTGAGATAGGTGGAGAGAGACACTCCTGACTCCATAAGAGAAGAGCATGGGATGATCTGAGGCAGAAGAGTCCTCCAGATTCTCTATATGGGATCCAGGGAGACACTGATCACCTGGAGAGAAACCATTCACTCTCCTCTGCTGCTCTGAAGGTGGCACCTGAGCTCCTGTGTGCTGAGCGCACCCTGCTGGCCCTGGGCAACCTGCAGGAGGTTTGTGTCTGGGCTCACACTGAGGTCCCCTCACTGTGGCTCTAGCACAGTAATAGGTGGCAGTGTCCTCAGTTCTCAGACTGCTCATTTGCAGGTACAGGGTGTTCTTGGAGTTGTCTCTGGAGATGGTGAATCGGCCCTTCATAGAGTTGGCATAGTTTATGGTGCCACCATTTTGGTTAATTTCTGCAACCCACTCCAACCCCTTCCCTGGAGCCTGGCGGACCCAGCTCATCCAGTAATCACTGAAGGTGAATCCAGAGGCTGCACAGGAGAGTCGCAGGGAACCCCCAGGCTGCACCAGGCYTCCCCCAGACTCCACCAGSTGCACCTCACACTGGACACCTGCAAACACAGAGGCAGCCTGGTCAGGACACTGTCACTCACCCACTCTCCCTCTCACTCCTTCCACTCACACACTCAGGATCTTTGGTTCTCCATTCATTACCTTTGAAAACAGCCACCAGGAAAACCCAGCTGAGCACACTCTCCATGGTGAGCAGCTGTGTTCAGTTCTGATCACTGAGTGGGCTGAGCTGGGAGTCCAGGGCTGGGCTCCTGTGCAGAGCTGCAGGGTCAGGTGGGCTGGTTTTCATGRGCAGAGGGAGGCCCTATTTGCATGTCCTCCTGCTATATAGCAGCTCTGGGTGGAGGCCCAGGAAGAGCAGCTCTGAGAGCAGATGGGAGTGTCATGGGCATCATGGTGGACAGAGGAGCATTAAAGAAGTTAGAATTTCTTCTAATTCAATCTTATTTTTTATAATCTTAATTTATTTAATATAAACACATAATCATATGATGGAGGTGCCTGTGCTAACTCCCTGGGGCAGAAGTAAAATCACACAGAAGCCTGAGTGCTGGTTCACTGTGTCCAACAGCTCCTGTGTGGCAAGAGTGACTGGTTGACTGGTCTTTTACTCTCACCCTGGACATGACTGCTGCCCTGACCCTCCTCCAGCTCCCAGGTGCACACACTTGGTGAGGTCCTCAGAACCATCCTGCATTGGAAATGTGCTGTGTGTCTTCTCCCCTCTGCTGCCACCTGCTCTCCAGGAAGCGTCCAGCTGAGGGCCTCATAGGCTCCCTGCAGGGGGAAGGCTGTGCCTCCCTGTGAGGGCCTCCTTCAGCTCAGGAGCATCCAGTTGGCCCAGAGCCCTCAGGTGCACATGCTGCTGCCATCTGTGGTGGGCACAGGGCCCTAGGGTGGCAGGGAGAAACCCAGGCTCTGTCCTCACTTTCAGCTGTCATGGGCTGAGTCCACAGGGGGCCACATATGAGGAGGCCCCCTGTTGTGAGGGGCCACATCCCTATGGACATGGTGCTGTGTCAAAGCACAGTTTTAATTTATCTTCATTCACTCTCAGCTTCTATCTGTGTATCTATCATTCACCAAACAACTACCATCTCCCACCTATCTATATGATCTATTAACAGTTATCTATCTATCTATCTATCTATCTATCTATCTATTTATCCATCCATCCATCATCTATCTATCTATCTATCCATCCATTATCTATCTATCTATCTATCTATCTATCTATCTATCTATCTATCTATCTATCTATCTATCCATCTATCTATCTGTCTCTCTGTCTCTCTATCTATCTATCTATCTATCTATCTATCTATCTATCTATCTATCTATCTGTCTGTCTGTCTGTCTGTCTGTCTATCTGTCTGTCTGTCTTCTGTGGTCTCAGCCTCCTTTTCTCCCCCTGGGCACTCCAGGCTTGTGGGAAACAGGGTCTCTCTCTGGAAGAACTGCCTTGGTGTCTTTCAGGAAGCACAACCATCTGTCATCAATGGAGCTGCCTTTCATCCTCAGCATGTCCATGAGGGTTGACAGAATGGAGAGGACAGCTGACACCCTGGTCCTGGTCACCTGGATTCCCCCAGGGCTGGTAGAGCCTTCCTGGCACGCTGAGCCCCAGTGGGACCCCAGCACCACTCAGGGGTCCAGCCCCATCTGCCTCTCTTTGCCTCCTGCCTCCTGCCATGGGGTGCTGCAGCCTCAGGGCCCTGGACAGGAGCAGCACCTGGGTGTTTGCACCCTGGTCTCCAGAACCTGCTGCAGCACAGCTCTCTCCTTGTGAACCCTCAGCCTCAGGAGCTGCTCAGAGAAGCATAGACTGGACTCAGCCTCACTGGTGCTGGGGCCTGAGGTGGTCATAGTGAGCATCTAAAGAGGTGGACACAGCCCTGGGACTGGGT